ACTCTGTACAACCCAAGTACTCCAAAGTCTGTGGGTTCTTTCTTTTCTTCTCTCAGAATTTCATCACCAGGAACCTGGATAGTTTATCTGCTTACTATGTGGGGCTGTCAGACCCAGAAGGGAAGAACCAGTGGCAATGGGCAGATGGCTCACCGTACAACGAGAGCACCACGTGAGTACAGAACTCCATAATGAATCCTGAATCCTGCCCCACACTGGGCCACTGCAGCTCTGAGCCACTAACGCACAGCAGCAAGAAAAGGCTTAAAAAAACAAAACCTCATGCTTATTTGTCACTGAAGTCTGTGATTTTAACCATATTTATATCTCTAAATAAAACAAAAATATTAATATTATAATTAATTAATAACTTTTGTGATATAGCGAAATACCAAATTCTGATCAGCTTAATATAACTCCCATTTACTTTAGATAACTTTACCACCTTTGACCCTCATGCAAATTTGTCAAGTATATGTAGATATTACCTAGTCCCCTTTAAAAGGTAGGAAACTTGAGACTCAAGTAGATTAAATTATTAGGCCAGGATTATAGGGGATAATCAAAAGCAATGTATGAAGAACAAATGCTGTGGATACTTGGGACCTGGAGGGAGCCCTGTCATCACTTAAGGAAATGCTACAGGTTTGCTTGTCCCCTGAGAACAGATCAAGGATGAAGAAGTAAACGGGGGTCTCTGGGGTGACTGATGGGAAGGTGTTTAATGTGTTCTGGATTTCTTTTTCCTTTTTCTTTAAAAAAAAATCATTTTATTGGGGTCTTGTACAACTCTTAGCGGAATTCTGGGTGGTGTCAGTTTTCAAGGGAAACTCCAGAGATGGAGGAGAAGTTGCTTACAATTGGGGGGCCTTGCAGAAGGGGGCAGAATGAGAACGGGGAAGAAATGATTGGACCTACTTGACCTGGATTCCACATGTTCAGCCTCAGCTCCCTCAGCCTCTGACCTTTTCAAACACAGTGTGAAGAAGTCGTACCATCCCTTCCCTCCCTTCCAGATTCTGGCGTCCTGGTGAACCCAGTCATCGTGATCAGCGGTGTGTTATGATAAATTCTGTTAGAGGAGGCTGGGGCTGGAATGATGGCCGTTGTGATGCTCATCAAAGATCAATTTGTGAGATGAAGAAGGTCTACTTTTGAATGGAATATTCTCCAGGGACATGTGGTTAGACGGAGACCCACTGTGAAAGGCACAGTTCATTTGGGGGTTTTTTGTTTGTTTGTTTGTGTTTGTACATCTTTTGTAACGAATGCCCATGGAACTTGTCAGTTGGCTGACACCTAGTGCGCTTATTATGGGTTCAGTTCACACAACCGTTCATTCCTAAGATGTACAATTTTAAGCATTTTCTGTGTTTTACGAACTCTCCTTTGTGGGTACATGGAGGAAGCATGATATTTCATTCCTAATTTCTGTGTGTTTCTTAAGGGACTAGTTACTGATATAATTAGAGACAATATAAGTTGATGTGATTACTTTTCCTGTCTAGATTTCTTCTGTGGACTGGTTTCAAGCAAAAGCATCCCAATAATTGCTTTCTGTTTCTGCCAGACAGATTTATTACTTTTAACAAAAAGCACATTATGAAATAGTAGGCATACAGTGCCCATCAATTTAAGGTACATTTCAGCTTGCTCCAGTAGACACTTTGTGCTCCTTAACATTCTCTATTCAGTACTGGCATTTAGCATTGGGTGTAGACCAAGAAATTGGAGATTGAACATAATAAATTTATAATTAGAGAATGAATTGAAGTCACTACTGATGACTTGATACATAGAATTTTATTCATCAGGTACTCTGATAATTATTTTCTTTGCTTCAATTTTGTAATTCGGTGCATGGATTCCTTCTCACAAAGGGCCTTGATGTGCTTTTGTAAACCAAAGAACTTTTACTGAAGTTCATGCCCATCATTTTGTTCTCCCACAATATAAAATATGCTGACAAGAAAGCCTGTCATTCATTGTCTTGTCATAGGACTTTTAATGGGTCCCTCCTGATGTGACCCCTGAGATTAA